TTAGTTATTTAGCTGTCAGATTATTCTCCCAAGTAATAACTTCCACTAGCAGCATTTACAGTCTGTGGCTCCAGTACCAAGTGTTGCCCATCAGGCAGCTGGTACCTCTTAGGCAGAAACATTTCATCAGATGATCAAGAGGTGCTGATACTTCATTATCCTGATCGTTTTTCTATGCTGCAGATTAAATACCACAATGATAGCAGGGGAAAGTAAATGCTAACTGGGAAGCCCAATAGCTGGAAAAAAATCAGGGAAAGGTCTTGAATTCTATGCTAAGCTTTATTCACCAAACTCAGTAACTACATGAACATCATTCAGAAAGTGTCTGTTCACAATGAACAAATTATTTGGTGGACTTCCATGTGGATTTTCTGTTTGTTTCCTAAATTTGATTTCCAAAATACCTTCTCAGTCTATGAATTACTCAGTTTCTCTAGTTGTCACAAACATTCCTTTATGTTCCCTAAATGGAGCACATGAGAAGGAAAGCAAGAAAAACTGATAAATTATGCAAGCTGTAACCACTTCTAGAATCTTTTGATATATGGGAATGAAAAACAAGGATGTCATCAGCATTGAAAAGAACAGCATCCCTTTACTAAAGAGAATTGCAAAATATCTTAATCAGATTCCTGCTCTTCTAATGAGGAAGTCAGAATGATATCCATCAAGAGACACATTTGATTTGTTCAGTGCAGAAGATTAAAATGGATTCGTTAGTGTAGGGATGAAAAGACATTAGTGAGCTGAGAGAGAAGTCACAACACCTTACTCAGTTTAATGGCAGCAAGCATATTCTTATTATTATTCTGACAGGTGTACTTCAGATAGTTCCTGATGGAACATGTTGAAAAAGCATCTGCACAGCATTTATTTAACCAGTAGCACAAACACTTCAAAAACCTCATAGCAGAACACACTTCTCATACTTTGACCAATACTCACTAAGTTCTCATACATCTTGATTTTCAAGATAAATCTTTATAAAGTTCACTTATATTACCAGTAAACACACATAGGCATCTTTTCCACCAACTGTGTTGATAATAATATTTTATTATTTTCTATTTGAGATAGATTTACCCCACAATAAGTTTCAAGTCAACCTTTCCTGTAAGAAACACTGAGAGCCATAGAAACCCTTTCCCTTCTGATAGCATCATTTTCTTATTTCCATATTTATCTTACTCATACTATTCACCCTCCCTTCTCACAGTTACTGGGTAAAAATCCACACCTATTAATATAGCAAAATTTGAGCATATTCTATAAAAATTGCTACCAGGGTACAGCAATGAACAGTGTTTTACTCAGTGCCTTCTGTTTACTGGATATAAAAGGAAATTGAATTTAATCTTTTCATCTTTTAGAAGAAGAAAGCAAAGTAACTGAGGATTCAGAAAAGGAAGGAAGGAAAGGGAACAGAGACCAGTTTACACTGAACCCCAGATGCAGTGAACAGGGATTCTCACTGCCCCCACCATAAGGAATTACTGGTCACACTATTACAGGAACAGCTGGGAAAGCATTAGGCAGCAGTAGGGATGCAAGAATGAACTTGCTAAGTACCTGCATAGCCCAGGCAAAAACCTTTATCCAAAATGAAACTCCAGCACTGGTTTATTAGAAACTGCTCTAATACATCTTTTCCAAAGGAAAACGAACTTTGTCCCAAAGTTATGAGCAAGAGAAAATAACACCCTGGCTACCTGGACTTCAGAGATGCAGCTGAAGCTATTCAATGTCCAAAAGAAAACTTTTCACAAGAGACTAATGAAAGATGAACCTTTGTATCCATAAAAACAGTACTACTCCTTTCAAAACCTAATGAAAAAAATCCTAGCAATTCTACTTTACAAACAGTAACCTGAGCTCCTGTTAACATACAGAAATGTGGATAAAAACACTAACTGAAGACTCATAATCAACTTAATACCCATCCTTCCACTCCACCACACACAGGCTGGTAGTGTTAGGGACACCTCCTACCACTTAACTATGAAGGCATCGCTAACTTGCAGACAAGAACCAAAATTCTTTTCCCATCCATTGCTTTGGATGATTAGTCATTCCCTAAACCAGCCTAAAGCAAACATTACATTTCTTCTCATTCTTTCACACTGGAATGCCAAGGAAAATCTGGTTGTGTGCTCATCCAAAGCAGACGCTGGTTCAGAGCCCAGCTGAAATCTCTAAAGCAGCACCAAGACAGAGAGCTGTACAAGTGATACCACCCAGCCCACCAGGACGGGACAAAACCACCAGTTGTGGGCCTTTATCCATCCCTGGAGAGCACAGCTGAAACTCCAAACGATCTGCTTTGCCTCCAACTGCTCCTAAGGGCACAAAAGGAATTATTATTAGGAGCAGGCTGTTGAGAACTCAAAGAGATTTGGAGAATTATGTTTCCCCATAACTCAGTGTTCTCTGCAATTGGACTATTAATGAATCTCAGAGGAACTTAATGGGAACGCTTGCAGTGTAGCATTTGTTAAAACTCCCTGTCACTAAAAAAAAGTGAAAATACTGAAAAACACTGGAAAAGTTGAAGACAAACTTCTGTTACAAAATATATATAGATATAACCAGATGGGCTTAAAACAAATAGTTCATCTGTTTTCTTTCTCAATTTGATTTCATTAATATTCTGTTCAGTTTCATTTACCTTAAAAATGTATAGAGACACAACAAAGAACTTGACAAAACTTGCTGAGAAAAAACAAGTTCTCCCGCTAGCATTATCAATGTACAAAGTTTATAGACTGTTTAAGATACCCATATCTATAATCACATATATTCATCTTCCTTTCCCCATACTTCCCCCCCTACAGATAAAAGTGCATTCAAAAGCCTCCTCCAATGAGTCAGTTAAAAATACACATCTGAATCATAAGTATATTCTGAATACAACTCTAAAGCCAAGGGGGATACTATTAATACATATAGCTAAAGACACAGCCTTGGCTAGCTGCTTTTATTAATATCTTGTCTATGCTACTTAACTACAGCTACTGCCACAATGTTTCTCCTGCCACTATCCATTAGGTGTCTATTTGATTTTAAAATGAGATCTTTTAAGTGTATCAGCTACTCTGACTTCTGACCCTGGTTTTATATTTTTGAAGATTTTTGTTAAAAGCTAGTATTTAAGTATCTTAGCTACTACACTACATCTCTTTTTTAAAGTTTCTGGAGATTTCACTTTCCTGTAAAAAGACAAAATGTAGTCCTTTAAACCTTAGTATTTTAAGAAAGGAAACGAGGTAAAGTTACCTTTTTCCTACACATATCCTGTGTTTACATGCAGAACTGCTTGCACAAAAATTTGTTTCCAATATTCAGTGCTGTTATTTGCTTCCCAGATCTGCTCAACAATACCATTTAAGGATCAGCACCTCATTTTACTAAGCTCCACAAAAACGAAGCCCTTGCCTGACAAAGCTTCCTGGAACAACACATGACGGAACAGGTAAACGTAACACTGACATTTAACAAAATGCAACGGGAAGGGTTTGAGTAATTTATGAGAACTGCAAAACTGTCATAAAAAATTGGCAAAACGTGTACCTGCTCAGCAAACAAAGTTTCTGCTGATACTACTTTACCAGTAGCTGTTTCCAAACATTTTATGCCATCACCCGAACTCCTTCCTCTGCACAGTATCGCTCCAACTTGACACGTGTCATTCGCCTATCGCTGCAGGACAGAGGCTTCGCCTTCCTCTTTCACTCGGCCTCTTATCTCTAGCCTATGGCCAAAGCCAAGCCTTTCCCCTTCTCCCTACAGCAGGGGAGAGATGAGGGGCCCAGAATAAAGGAAACGAGCCGCTGCTCGACTCGTTCCCTCCGGCACATACCGCGGGCACTGCCGCCCGTTCTGCCCCGCTCCAGGAGCGCGGAGCCGCCGCGCACCCGGCCCCGGCCCATGGGCACAGACCCGCCTGGCAGCCGGGGCCGGCTCCGGGGCACAGACCCGCCTGGCGGCCGGGGCCGGGCCCCACTCTGCCCTCAGCCGCTGCTGCCGAGCAGGCCCGGCTCCCCGCATGCCTCCGCACGGACAGGTGCAGCCCTCGGGCCCTGCGCAGCCCGGCCTCAGCCCCAGCCCCGGCCGCCTCCTCCTCCTCCTCCCCCGGCCAGGCCCTTTACCCGCGCACCGCCATCACCCCGGGCCCGCACAAAGACGGACCCGCGCTCGCCGGGCCACGCAGGGAGGGAGCAGAGCCGAGCCAGGCCGAGCCGGGCTGGGCCTCCTCCACTCCCTCCTCGGTCAGCGGCAGTGCCCGGCCCTGCCACCCGCGGCCTCCATCTCCGCCTCACCTCTTTGGGGACGAGCTGGTTCTCCTCGCTGGGCACCATGGCCGGTGGCGCGGCGCGGAGCCCGCAGCAGGCTGACCCGAGCGCCGTCGTCAGCAACAGCGGGAGGCGGGGGGACGCCCGCGGCTCATCCTCCCCCTTCTTCTCCTCCTCCTCCTCCTCCTCCTCTTCTTCTTCCTCTTCCACCTCCTCCTCTTCCTCCTCTTCCACCTCCTCCGCTCCCGCGGGCAGCGCCGCGGCCCCGCCCCGCCGCCAATCCATGGCAAAATGGCCGCCGGCGCGGTTCTCGCGAGAGCCGCCCCGCCCCGGGCGGGCCGCGCTCCGCCGCGCTCATGGCCCCCGGCCCGGCCCGGCCCTGCTCTATTCTGCTCTGCTCTGCTGCCGCCGTGTGCCCCGGCCGGGCCGCTCGGTGTGCCCCGGACCGAGGGGCGGCGTCAGGCCCGCACCGCGGAGCTTCCGTGGGCGGCCGGGCCCGAGCTGCCCCGCGCACGGGTTATCCATGGCGGCTGCCCCGTCACGTTGTCCTGCCCTGGGGAGCGGCATAGCGCGGCCGGGCCTGCGGCGGAGCAGCGAGTCAATAAATGGAATGGGCGCCGTCTGCGGACGTGTTTGGGGAAAAGGCTGCCCGTGCCGCGGTGGTGGTCGGTCTTGGGGTGGGCTGGATGATCTCAGAGGTGTTTTCTAAGCGAATTGAGACGGCGCAAATGGAGCATTTTGGGGCGAGCGGGGAGGGAGCGCTGCCGCAGGTACGGCTGCGGGCTGGTTAGCGCCCGGCCAGGAGCGCGCTCGGAGCGGGGCTCGGAGCCGGCAGCGTTCAGCGAGCGGGGCTCGGAGCTGGGGCAGCCCCGGGTA